CTCCTTACAATGAGTCACTAGTTGCCTCAGACCTTCTCAAAGACGGAAACAAAGGAGTAAAAGTATGACATGCACTGTTTTGGAAGCCAATCAAACCTCGGTATGAATGCTATCTTAGGAGTCATTTGATCTGCCTGAGCATGGTTATCTGCAACAGGGGGGACCTACGTGGGGAAATTAAGATTGAACGAGAATTGCCCCAAATGGCCTAATGCAGTACCTGGCACCGAACAGATGCTCAGCACACGGCAGCTGATTGTCCCTATTGGCGCCCGGGGCCAAGGCATGATGAGCGGCCGCGACCCAACCCGCACTTACGATGATCTTAAGGAAGTAGTTGGACTTCCAGGTCGCCCTGTCTTCCCTGGGCATCACGGCGGTGCGTCAGGGAGTGCCACGCAGGGTTTAAAGACGATGTCACTGAGGGGAGAGAGGGAGCTCAAGCCTGGTCACCGCGACACCCACTCCCCGGCCCGTAGCCTATGCACAACGGACCACGCGTGAGCACCGCCCGGCCTGGGGCAGTCGCCACCACCACATGGGGAGCGCGAGCCGCAGTCCAGGCCCCAGGCGAGACAGGCCCGGATCCCACGGCCCCCAAATCCCCGCCCCCATCCAAAGAGCTTCCAAAGACCCTGATGCTTCCCACCGCCGGTCCCACGAGTGGAAACGGAGAAAGCACGAACCTCTCAAGAGGACGCCTGGAGAGAGGAGGGCCGCACCCTGGCGAGTGCACTTTATAGGTAAACGAAGCGACCAATCAGAAGCCACGGCCAGCGACCCTGTCTATTGGTTAGTGCCGCTGCCCGTCCAACAGAGACGAACTGATGTAGGCAACCATTGGATGACATCGCTGCCACTCGAGCCAAACGGAAACCGCCTTTAAGTAGGGTAGTGAAGGCAGAAGCTGCTTTGTGTTGGAGGCTCTCTCTGAGAGCTGCTGCCCCCGGCTGGACTGGCGCTGCCTTTGTCTAGGAGCTACAGTTTGCGAATTGAGTCCTGGTTTCCCCGACCAGGTTGGTGGCCGACTCAGCAAACTAAACAGGACGACGTGAAGCTCCGGAAACCGCCTTTAAGTAGGGTAGTGAAGGCAGAAGCTGCTTTGTGTTGGAAGCTCTCTCTGAGAGCTGCTGCCCCCGGCTGGACTGGCGCTGCCTTTGTCTAGGAGCTACAGTTTGCGAATTGACTCCTGGTTTCCCCGACCAGGTTGGTGGCCGACTCAGCAAACTAAACAGGACGACGTGAAGCTGAGAAATAATTGCACATGCCTTAAAAAGAGAAAGATCTCTTGTCTCCTGTAGTTTGTTCTTCCTCCTACCAAAACAGAGGGATCCCTTAAAACCTAAGTCTGATCGTTTCCTTATCTGTTCGAAACTCTGTAAAGGCTCCCCATTTCCTTCAGAGTAAAAGCCTAAAACTGAGACTGCCCACATGGCCCTACATGATCTACTCCCCACTCCAACTCGATAATCTCATCTTCTTTTTTCCTACTGATCCATTTCCTTCCAGCCAGATGATGCTCTTTGCTGCTTTTTCGGCGCATGCTCCCACCATAGGGCTTTTGCAGCGGCTATTTTCTCTTCCCGGTAAGCTCCTAGCCAATATCCACAGGAGCAACTCACCTCCATCAAGCCTTGGCTCAAATATTGCCTGCTCAACGAGGCCTACCCTGAGTTCCCTATTTAAAAACACAAACAGAACAAAACACTCCCAGTCCCCCTTAGCTCTCTTCTATTTTTTCAGTGGCACTTACACCTTCTAACACAATATATAATTTATTACATTATTGTCTGTCTGTCTCTCCCTGCAGGAATTCAAGCTGCACAAGGGCAGATGTTTTTATCTTGTGCCTGGCACATAGTGAAGTGGACCCCAAAATGTAAATGTTTTACCCCCACTTTTGTTTTAATTTTGCAGCTGGAATGTGCTTGTTTGCAAAGGACCCCCTAGGAGTTGGTTAAACAGTAGTCTGCCTTTTGGGTTTTTGTGGCTCTGCTGCCTGCTTGATTGAGCCACCTAAATTCACAAACTGCTTGCCAAAGATACATTTAGAAATTGAAACTAACAGCATCTATTTAACCACACATTTCCTGTCTCTGTAACCCGGCTTAGTGAAGCCCCTGACCTGTTTTTTGAAGCCCCCCTTCTTGTGTAACTCTGCCTAGATACAGAAAGGGCCAATAAAAGGCTTGCTTGCCTGCTCAAGAAAAGTATATAACCACAGCTGTCCCTGCACCCAGGGTCCCAGGATCTCGGGACATGAGTCTACCTGGGTCCCGCTAGTGTTCCTGTCCCACTAGCGTAATAAACTTCCTGACTCTCCATCTCTCTGAGTGACTGGAATTATTTCCTCGTCGAGTTCTCTTTCCATAACAATAGTAGGCTTATAAATATTTGTTGAATGAATGAATGCAAGATTTGCAGTCAGATGACTTGGGTCCATAACCTTGTTCTGCCACTGGCTAGCTGTGTCATCTTAGGAAGTGATTTCACCTTGCTGACCCTCTGTTTCCCTTTCCTTATCTGTAAAATGGGGATAATAAGACTTCCCACGTTCTAGAGTTATTATGAGGATTAAATATGTGTTAAGACTTAACATAGTTCCTGGACTGTAGGAGGAAGTCAATAAATGTTAGCTTCTTTTATTGTACATTCATTCAACATTTATTTGAATAATTGTGCTATATCAATAAGTATTTATGATGAAAGATCCTGGGGCAGAAGGGGTATATCTCCCCATCTCCACCCTTTTCACTTGACCAAGTTAGAAATTTCTAATGAGTTTAATCTGGACTATATGTGACCAGCATACAATTTGCTGTACATGGTCCCAAGTTCTGTTTCTCTCAACTTTCCCCCAACAAGGCTGGTCAAAAGGTGAAGCTGTAACATTCCTGTCCTGTGTCTAATTTTGTTATAGTACCTCTTTGGACAGCAACTCATGAAGCCATCTTTTCAAGTCACTGTTAGCAGAAACTATTCCTAAACCTAACTAAATATCAAAATCCCCCTAACGACTGGCTGGTTAGCTTAGTTGGTTGGAGCGCTGCCTTATAACACCGAGGTCATGGGTTTGGATCCCCTACCTGCCGGTCGCCAAGTGAACACATCAAAACCACCCTAGAAGCTTGGTAAAAATATGAATTTCCGGGCCGGCCCGGTGGCGCACTGCTACAGTGCGCCGCTTGGGAGCGCGTGGAACAAAGCTGTCCAGGAAACTCAGGGGCTAGAACTGGAATCCTAGATCAGATGAAAGCAAAGAGGAAGCGTACAAATATGGAGGCAGTAGAGACCCACCCTCAACTGTAAGTAGCTGCCTTCAGCAAGGAAGGGGCTACACCCAAGGTGCTGTCAGCTCCAGTGTGGCGGTGTCTGGCTCAACATAGGAACACAAGCAAAGGCAAGCCCTGGGTTCACATCATGCCTCTACTCTCACTCAGGGGATTGCCTTGTGCATGTCAGTTCTCCTCTTGGAACCTCTTTCCCCATCTGTAAATGAGTGGAAGGCCACCCACAGGCCCATGTGAGGATGTCCTCAGTGAATGCACATGAAAGCACCTACGGTGAGGCCTGCCCCACCTAGGGCCCAATAACGCTGCTCCCCAACCTTCCTTTACCAAGTGCCCAGGAAAGAGCAAAGTTCATGAAGGAGCAATGTAGGAACTGTGACCACAGGCAAGGACCTGGATTCCATCCCCACAGGTTTTAGCCTCAAGTAAAGGAACATTAATGATTCACCCTCAATCTAGTGATAAGAGTGAATCTGGGGAAGGTTTGGCTCTCTGCTGGGACTGCTATGTTGTTATCTCAGACCATCAAGAAACGGCACTAGCACAGGTGAAAATAATGGCAAACTTTATTGGCATAAATCACAGGAATTGAAATGGGAAAAGCCAGGTTAGAAGTTTACAGAGAAAAAAAAAAAAATCAAAATCATATCATCAAATAACCACTGACCCAGAGAGTGGAGCCCAGAAACCACAGTCTCTTTTGGGGAGGGGTTTGGGGTGGGTCACTGTAAACAGAGCAATAAGGCCTACGGGTGGAAGTGGAGACATCGGACCTTTGGAGGGGCCAGGCTAACTCCCCAGACCTGGGTTGCGAAAAAGGAGGGACCCTCTTCTGAGACCCTAGTGAACTAGACTCTACTAGGAGGCTAGTGGAAGGGAGGCTAGTGGAAGGGTCTTCCTCACCTTCATACTCCACTGGGGTCCCTTTTTGTTGACCAGGAACCCCAGGCCTGGCTGCTCCTGATTCATCCTTGAGAAATAGGTCTGGGGGCTTCCTGTTGTTCTAGCGGGATCCTGACCCTCTGCCCAAAATCCCATCAGGCCCTCTTGCAACCACCTGGGCCCTTCTCCCCAGACCTCCTGAGAGTCGATCCCATTTGTAAAAGGGGAAGAAGCTATACCCAGTTTCCAGGAAGGGCAGGAGAAGCACTTCTGGGGAAGTGCTGCGGCCCAGTGGAATCAACAAGACCAAAGAGACCTTCACAGTCTTTATGGTCTAAATCACATACCAGCTTTCCTGAGAAGGCAGAAGAAGGAGTCCCAGAGAAGCAGTGAGGAGGCGTAGAGTGTTCAGTGGGTTCTCTTTGTTGCCAAAAAGTTCACAGGGGAGCGAAAGCTCCTAATGGCTTGCTCAGAAGGGAAGCAGCCCCCCTCTAAGTGTACTTTCCTCTTCTCCCTCAGATACAGGACAGATGAGGTTCAGAATTCTAGGCCCAAAAGGGCAGGACACCCTCAGGCCAGTTTTAGTGAAGAGCTTGCTGGCCTGAGGAGTAAGGAAGGGGTTTCAAAATACAGCAGTTTATAAAACAGTCCTGGTGAGCTGTTAAGTTAAAGAAGGAGTCATGTAGCTGCTCCCAGTTCACCTGCTTGTGCTAAGAAAAAATAAAATACAAATTGCTTCCCCACCCTAAGCCCTCAGTACAAAGCAAACTCCATACCAAAGCCACTGTCACCAACAGGACCAGTGGCAGTGGACAAGGAGAAGGAGTAAGGAAGGGGTTTCAAAATACAGCAGTTTATAAAACAGTCCTGGTGAGCTGTTAAGTTAAAGAAGAGGAGTCATGTAGCTGCTCCCAGTTCACCTGCTTGTGCTAAGAAAAAATAAAATACAAATTGCTTCCCCACCCTAAGCCCTCAGTCCAAAGCAAACTCCATACCAAAGCCACTGTCACCAACAGGACCAGTGGCAGTGGACAAGGAGAGTACAAAAGGGAACATCTTTAAAATCTCTTCAAAATCATTTCATATAGAGAAGTAAAAGCAACTCGGGTGATATGAATTCAAACCTCAGTGTAGAAATCTACCAAAGTCGGTACAGTGTCCAGGCACGGGTGATGCTCCCCACCTCACGCCGTCCCTGGAGATGAAGGAAGTGACTATAAAACATTATTGCTGGAGAGGCCTTTCTCAGTAGAACCAGAGCAGTTATAAAAGGGGAGGTCGAGGTAAAAAGAGGAGGGCAGTCACCCAGGCCCGGGGAGACTGGAAGAGCAGGAGGAGCCCAAGGAACCTTCCACGACCCCTTGGGTACTTCTACCCTTGGATGGATGGATTTACGCTGGCATTGTCTGAAGGGAGCTGGGTGTCCCCCAGTACTCTCAGAACAAGGATAATCAATGAGGTCGGTGGAGAAATAAGGATAAAAAGAGACCCCATCTGACGCTGCCTGCCCTCCCCCACCCCCGGCTCTAGTGTGGGGTGCTGGCCTGGCCAGGCTGGTTCCTGGGGACACACATATTGTGGGCCCCCAGCCTCCACCTCCTGGGAGGATGAAGAGTACACAGCCTAGGGAGAGCTGCAGGGTGAGGAAGGAGGCCCAGGGGCTCTGGCAGGGGTGAATACAAACGGTGGGACCCCTCGCGGCCCTTTTCCCATCCTGCACCTGCTGAGGACGAGGGTTCCAGTTTCAGTTGGGTTTGCCCCTTCACCCTGGATGAGGCCTCTGGGTCACAGTAGCAGTCAGGGGTGCTGGGCTAGGGAAGGAGGCAGATGAAGGGGTGGGGGTGCCTAGCAGAAGAGCTTGAGGAAGCAGTTCTGACAGTAAGGCTTGTCGTTCTGCTCCTTGAAGGTGCCCTTGTTGAGCTGCTTGAGGCAGAAGGCACAGACGAAGTGCTCCGGGTGGAATTTCTTGGCCATGGCAGTGATGCAGCGGCCGGTGATGGGCTTCTGGCAGCCGGAGCAGAGCGAGCCACGCCGCTCATGGTAGTGCACCTCGCAGTAGGGCTGCCCATCGTGCTCGAAGAAGCTGCCGTTGACGAATGGCGTGAAGCATTCCTGCCAGATGGAAGAGGGCAGTGGAGGCAAGGGGGCTCAGAGGGCTGTCCCTTCCTGTGGAACAGACCCCAGAGTGATGGGCAGGAGACAGTCACGGCCAGCCCACTCACAATGACTCCCACTTGCTAGGCATCTCCTGTGTGCTGAGTGCTGCTCTAAACGCTTACTTAATTCTTCCACCACAGGAGGCAACTGAAGCGTACAGGTTAAGTGACTTGCTCGAGGTCATGCAGCTACTAAGTGGCACAGCCTGGATTCCAACAAAGGTCTGACTCCTGGGCCTGTAACCAGGTGGCTATAACTGTCCCCAGACACCCAGGTGCTGGGAAAAGGGGTCCATAGTCAAACTCTGCATCCTAGATTCTTGTATGAAGAATCTGCACATTTAGGTATAAAAAGCTTTGAGAAGTCCTGCAGTGAACAGTATTTCCCAAAGTTATTTGGTCAAAGAGCCCTTGCTGAATCCCTAATACCATCTGTGGGCCCCCATTACCCCACAGAGTGCAGTTTGGAAACCACTGCCCATTTCTGTTGAGACAGCTAAAAATCTGTATTATCTCATTTAGTTCTCACACACTTTTCTCCTGAATATGAGTAGTCTCAGGATCACTGTACAGGACTAGGCTGAGGGATGTGTCTACCTTGCTCCTGGTTTGTCTCAGCCTCAGTACAAGCCCTGGCCTAGGACCTACAGAACTTGAGGAAGTGCACCCCCTCCTGCTCATTCATTAATAACCCCAAATGAGGCCCCCAAGTTGGATCCAGGCAGCACAATGAGGAGCCCGTCTCTCCTTCTGCCTGCTCCCAGCGCCCTCCAGATACGAGGCCGGGGGAGGGGATCCTTACCCGGCACACAAAGCACTCAGGATGCCAAAGCGTGTTGAGGGCCGAGATGTAGTTCTCCAGGATGGCCCGGGCACAGCCACCACATTTGGGTGCGAACATGTCAAAATAATCCTTCCGGCAGTAGGCCTTGCCATCTTTCTCGTGGAACCCTGAGGAGTGGGGGTTTAGAGGACAGAGTTAGGGCCTCTAGAAGTACAGCCACCCTGACTCCAACATCAACAAAGTCTCCCAGCCCTGCCTCCCCAGCAGTACCTTCAGGACCAAAGAAGGCACCACACTGGGCACAGAAGAAGTGCTCAGGGTGCCACGTCCGGTCAAGGGCTGTCACCACTTTCTGTGAAAGCAAAATATGGACTCAAAACCAAGCTGCCTACTTGGATAGATCCCATAACTGAGACTCCTGGGCAAGGCTGTCTTTCCCACATCCACCCCCAGCCAAGGAAAGAGCAAAACACTCCCAAGATCAGGGTCTCTCCTAATTGTGCTGTGAATACCACTAAGAATTCATATTGATTGAGAGATATGACATGCCAGACACACGCTCTCTCCTTTAATCCTGACACGGGGTCAAGGTCATAGGTTCTATTGTGCCTCCCGGGGTTTTTTTAATTTTTTTTTTTTTAATTTTAACTTCTCAATATACATTGTAGTTGATTTTCATGACCCTTTACGGGGTCAAGGTCATAGGTTCTATTGTGCCTCCCGGGGTTTTTTTAATCTTTTTTTTTTTTTAATTTTAACTTCTCAATATACATTGTAGTTGATTTTCATGACCCTTTACCCGTTCCTCTTCCCACCTCCCTCTCTCCCCTCCCCTCCTTACATCATATCTGTTCACTTGTCTTAACAAGTTCAAGGAATTTTTGTGATTGTTGTGCTGTGACTCCCATTTTATAAGTAAAGAAACAGGCTCAGCGAGGCTAAGGCATTTCCCTAATGTCACACAGCAGGAGGGCAAGACAACTGGGATTCAACTCAATTTATCTGGTCAGAACTCCTAGTTCCTAGGAATCTTGGAAGATGGGAGGTGCAGCTTCCTAATGTGCATTAGGACAGGCTGTGGATCGGGCCAGAGTTTGAATCCCAGCCCAACTGTTTTCTAGCTATGTGAGCCTCAGGCATGTGATGTGACTTTTCTGAGCCTCCAATGGCACCACCTGCACCCTCAGAGGGCTACAGTGAAGATAAAATGAACTGATGGGAGCACAGTGCCTGGATAAAGAAGAACCATGGTTGCCCCTCCCCGCTGTGCTGTGGGAACTCACATCCAGGATGGGACCATTGCAGTAGTAGCAGCGCGGAGAGAAGAGGTTGTGATAGTCCTTTTCACAGTAGGGCTGTCCATCCCGCTCAAAGAAGTTCCGGGATCCGATCTCCTCCTGACAGTGGGTACAGACGAAGTGCTCCGGGTGCCACGTCTTCCCCATGGCAGTCACAACCTGAGAAGGAAGATAAGACTGCAGCTCAGGGCCAAGGCCAGCCACGGAGCACCTCACCCAAGGAACAAAGGTCCCCTTCCCACAGGCTGCTCCCTCTCCTTCCCTACCCCACCCCTCATCACCTGCCCAGCAATGGGCTTCTTGCAGGCCCCGCAGACCCCTTTCGCGACCGTGGCAACTCCCAGCTTGTTCAGGTCAGACTGCAGGCTCCCCAGCATGCTGTCCAGTTGGCTCCCAGGCTTTGGGGGCCCCCCAGGAGGTGAGCTGCTCCCTGTCTTCCCCTGGGCCATAAACTGTGGAGACAGGTGGAGAGAAGGAGCTGGTCAGGACTTCTGGGGCTTGGGATAAGAGTATCTCATGGCACCATGGCACAGGGGGCTTTTCTACCTCCTGACAGATGGGAGGATTGAGGCAAGAAGTACAGGTCCCTCCAGGGGCCTGAAGAGCTCTAAAAGTGGGAGTAACATCAGCAGGACATCCTGGTGGCTGGGGGGGCTCACAGACTGTCAGAGAGCAGGGCTCACAGTACCCTGCTGGCATGGCCAAGCCAGGGAAATGTGACAAGCAGGAAACAGCCCCCAACCCTTGGCACTGACCCCTCCCTCATCCTGCCCTTTGGGTCTGCTCTGCTGGCCATTCAGAGTCCAGCCAGCTGCCCAGCACAGCTCTCTATCCACTCTTTGTTCCAGGCCTTGCATCTTAGATAGGGGAGGAAAGGAGGATAACACTTAAAAAAAAAATTAAGGAAGAAAAAATAAGAGACATTGTCATTGGATCACTTCACAAAAGGGAATTTAGGATGAGATAAGAGGATTTTTCCCCCATTGGCACTACCAAAATCAGGAGAAAAAACAACCTGGAGAGAGAGACCCAGGGACAGCTGAAGAGGGAGAGGGAAGTGAGCCCACCAAAGACAGGGGACACAGGAAGGGAGGTGGCTGGGGTCAGAGGGCAGAGAGGCCTCGCCAGGCGCTGGGCCTGGGGGATGGAGGGCAGGAGTCTGCTGGAAGCCTGGGCGGTACAGGGGGGCAGTGGAGAAAGGGAAGACAGAAGGGGGTGTCCACAGCAAAGCAAGAGGGCAGGTGACTTCCCCAGGTTGGGGCCTGGACATCAGATTCAGTGAGATTCCAGAGTCAAAGTCTAAGGAAGGACTGTGGCTACTGGGCTGAGCCTTGCAGATTCAAGGGGGGGGAGGGCAGGGAATGTGTGTGAAGAGTAGGGGGACAGCTCAGGCATTAGGATAGGGGACAGGTAGGGTCAGTGCTGGGGCCCCTCGGTGGCCTGCCTGCATTGGGGGGAAGAGCGGGTCCTCATCGGTCTGGCAGCCAACGGACCTCATGGCGTGGGGTGCAGGAGTGGGCGGGGTGGGGCCCTGCACACCCTCATCAGGGGGTGCTCTCCCTGCACTCTGGACTCTAGGAGAACCATGGGTGCAAGTTGAAGGCCCCAGGGAGGAGGGAGCAGGCAGGCTGGGCAGGGGAGAAGAGCTGCTGGCCGAGGTGTCTTTGCGATGCTGGAACAAAGGGACAGAAGGAGGAGAAGCCAGAACAGAGATGGTTCTTCTCAGGGGAATGGGAGAGCCAGGAGGGAAGACAACCTGGGAAGAAGAAAGGAGGAAGAGAGATGAGGACAGAAGAAAACAGCTGGGCGAGTGGGGGTGGACAGGGCAAAGAGGTGACATCCCCAGGTTCCCCTGGGCCTTCTCACTCTGGCACCAAGAGTGAGGCCAGCATAACAAGGCCACAGGATGCAAGAACCATCCCCAGCATGCCCGAGTCTCCCCCCCAGCTGGTGCTGGGGCCAGAAAAGAATCTGGACACCTGCTACCCTGGCCCAGCCCTTGGCACCTCCTTGCTACCTTCTCTACCAGCTGCCCCCCAGCCCGCCTCCCACGAGGCTGCACAGTGATGACGATGCCCTCAGTCAGCCAGTCCTGGACGGAGGCCCCTGCTGCCCCTGCTGCCTCCTCCGCCTCCGGCTGGATGCCCAGCCGACCCTGCAGCTCTGCGATGAGCTGCTCCTGGGACGGGGTCCTGCTCAGGTTGGCGGGGTCCAGCCGGCGGCGAGGGGACGGCTCCCGGGACATGGGGTGCGCATGGTCTGTCTCCCGGCTCCTCCTGATCACGGAGCGGATCTGGGGGGGAAGGGGAGGCTGTCACAGTCCCACCCTGGGCCTGGGCACAAGACTGCTCAGTCTACCCTCAGGTGCCAGGGGAGGGAGGAAAAGAACAAAACCGCTAGAGAAGAACCAAGCTGAGGTGCAGTGGAGGAAGTGGGAAGACCAGACTGGCTCAGAGCACAGGCCGCAAGATAGACCTTGGACCCAGTATTCACCTCCAAGTCAGCTGCTGACATTGAGCAAGCCATGTAACTTCCAGGGCTCTCAGTTTCTCCATCCTTGGAATGGGCAAAAGTGTTTTCTTGGCTTACCTCACAAGGTATTACAAGAATTATTTGAGAGGATGTTAAGTGGGCACTCTTGCCAACGGCCAGGCCTTTTTCCTCCTTTTTTTTGATTTACAATAGAAAAACGTGGTCTTTCCTTCCAGTACATCTTTTAACCAGTTTTTTTTTTCTTTTTTATAGTATCATACTATATATAGACTTGTTTGTAGTGTTTTTGGTTTTCGTTTTGTTTTTAGAAAGGCATAATGTTTTAACCAAGCAAGAAGCAAATAACAGTAACATCAGCCACAGCTGTGACCATGTGCTAAGTTTTAAACACTTTCCAGCAATCATCTCAATTAATCCTCTGGACAACTTTGGCGGAAAATGGTCTATTATTACCCCCATTTTAAAGATGAGAAAACTGAGGCTGGCAGCAGAGGGCATTGCCCAAAGTCACACGGATAGCAAGTGTTGGAGGTGTGGCTTGTGTCCAGGTCTACCTGGTTTCAAAGTCCATGCTCTTAACCATTACACACACATCAGCATGTCAAGAGCAGCTCATCTGAAGGAAAAAGCCTTAAACAAGCAAGAGGTAGACTGTCGCTACTAGAATGCCGGGGTCTGGGGGGTTCTGCTGGCCCCACAGAGCCCATAGCCAAGTGCTGGACGTCAGGGTCACAAGCCACGGTATTGCAGCATTCTCTGCCCAAGCAGACATGCATGGAGTGGGAGGCTGCATACAGTTAGCCAGGAGCAGCCACACTCAGACCCGCCAAGGGCCATGTCAAGCAGCTATGCGAGCTGGCGCCTGCCTGGCCAGAGGTGGAAATCCTCTCCATGGCGTTGGGTGTGCCCATGACTGTATCAGGTGGAAGCTCCGGCTGCTCCTTCCTGGCCTTGGTGGCAGCTTCAGTAGTGCCCTCTGAGCTCCTGGAGGTCTCAGGTCCCAGGGCTGGCCCAACCAGGCTTCCCCTCCTGTACATCTTTCCACCTAACTGCTCCTTGTCAACTGGGGTGGGGCAGCTACTTTCCAGAGCCCCCAGCTCTGGCCTTGCCCTCTCCTCCCGCTGGTCATGTTCCTTTGTGAGACTCCAGGTATCTGGGAAGACAGCCTGACGGTCCACTGCCACCACAGCTGGCTCAGTTACTTCCTGGAAGGTACGAGCAGCTCCACGGGGAATCTCAGGCCCGAATGCCTCCAAAGTCCACGGCCGCTCCCAAGTGGCAGCCACGACCTCCTCTGGGCACAAAGGGTTGGCCAGTGGCCCCTGGGGGTCTCCAGGCTCCTGGGGACCTGTGTACCCAGCACAGAGTAGACTGTGGCAGGGGGGAACCCTAGAGAACTCACTTGTGGGGTTTGGCAGGTCCCTCCAATCTTGAGCCTGGCTCTCTACATCAAAGAGCCCCAGAGAACCCTCCACAGAGGGAGCTCTTGAGTTGGGAGTATTAGCTGTCACCCCAAGGCCAGCCAAGTCAACCCAGCTAGGGGCCACAGGAGGTAGAAGACGAAGACGCTGTCCATTCTGCTCAGTGCAGGGGACCTCCAGGGTGTGGCCCTGGCCTCGAGGGGAGGGTTTAGTGGTGTATGGCAGGAATACAGAAGGCATGGAAGAAGGAGGAAGTGTGCAGTGTGGGGACGAAGCAGAGCTGGCCGGCAGCCCTGGGGAGCTCAGGGCCACCACGGAGGAGCTGGTCTGGTGGAGGAGAAAGACAGAGGTGGAGAGGAGAAGAGAGAGAGACATGGGGAAAGATGAGGAAGGATGTGCACCGCAAAGGGTGGGCTCAGCCTGAGGGCTCTGAGAGCCACCATCTGTACTGACCCAGGTGGCTGCAAAGCTGGAGCACAAAGAATGACCTTTGAATAAGTCCCAGACCCCAAAAAAGGCTTCCCTAGGCCCCATGTCCTTGGCCCTCATCAAACCCAGGCAACAGAAAACAGCCACTAAGCTGTGCCTGGGGCACCACCCAGAGTAGGTATGAGGAGAAAAGACCTAAGGTGAGGTGGACAACAGGGAGACAGGTGACCAGGGAGGTCAGTCTCCAGTACAAATGAAGGGACAGTCAGCCCCAAGCAGCTGCTCAGTCTTCCTCGGTCACTGGCTCAACCTGAGGCTGTGTCCCTCCCAGACAATCCCAGCTTTCCCATGTTCCCACATCTGTGCTCCAGGAGCATGAAGACACAGGCTGGCTAGGAAAGCACCACAGCCTTAAAGCACCAGGGCAGGGCTCCCTTAAGCCAATGCCTAAAACCAAGTTACTTGCTTCTGACTGTGGCTGCCAGAACCACTGGCTTAGAGCTGGAACCACTGCACACAAGGGTGAAAGCCCAGGCTCAATCCCCCACCTCCAGCCATGCTCCCATCCTCCACTGTGAGAGCCCAGCTGAAGCGAGGCTAGGAAGCACCACCAAGGCCAAGGATGTACAGACCACTCGCTCCCCTTCTCATATTCCCTAAGTTATGCCTCAGAGATCTCCAGCTGACCCACATGGAAGGGTGAAACCAGTAACTGCCAGAGACTTCTGACATTTCAATCCTCATTGAGGCACTGCATCCTCCAAATAAAACATCTCGGGCCTGGCAGGACTGGGAAGGCCCAAAGAGAAGGAGACAGGGCACCTCGTGCAGTACTGCCTGGAAGTTCCCATAGACAAAGCTAGTAGGAACTCAGGCCCAGCTGCCAGGCCTGGACCAAGACGGGGAAGGTAGAAGGAGGTGAGTAAGGGAGGCCTCTGGATTCAGGAGCCAGAGGCAGAAAGACAGAGGACGTGTTGAGGACACCTGGCACGGAGATGAGCTCCAGGGCAAACAACCTCTCAGGCATGGGATCCCAAGCCCACATGGCCCCACAGAGAATGCCCTCCCCCACCAAGAGCAGCCATCAACACAGGGCCCTTTGTCCCAGAGTCCCAGCCTCCTGATCCCCTCGACCTACGTGGCTGGGAGTGCCCGGGGAGGAAGGAATGTCACAGCTGAGCCTTTCTCTGCCTTCTCTGCCTTCACTGGCTGCCACAGCAGCTCAATCCCCATGCAGACTGGCCTGGCCCTCCCTCTCCTGGATCCTGGTATCCTGGCAAGGCCAGGTCACTGCAGGGTCCCTGGCTCAGGGGCAAGGCACCCAAACCCTGGGGAGCCAAAGTCCAGCTACTCACACTGAGGTAAGGGAGGAGAAAGATGAGGATGGGGGTAAGACAGGAAAGATGGAGGGGCCATGTGGCACCTTAAAATCCGATAGCGAGGCCATCAGCTCGTCCAGCTCTCTGGTGGCAGAGGAGGCCGAGATGCGCGTCTGCTGCTGGCTGGAGGTGACTCGCTGAGGGCTGCTCATCTCACCCTGGTTCATAGTGATGGCAGGGCTGCAGGGCAGATATGGAGTCAGCAGGGGCCCAGGCCAGCCATGCTTCTCAGGGGATCAACATCCCAGCTCTGACAGCACAGTCCTGCCACCCCCATCCCCAGGCTCCCCGTCTTTCCTGGGGACCCATCATGGGGAGAGGGCTGTCAGCCAGGGGGACAGAGCTCTGAGGTGAGCTGACTTGGGAGAAGAGAGAGTAATCAATTGGCACCCTTCCTAGGAGGGCTCCTCTGGTCCTCCTAGCCCAAGTGAAAGCTCGCCAGTTTAACAAGCCCAAGCACCCTGTGTGTATCCTGTACATAGATTATTACAATAACAAGATAACACTAATAAGAGCTAACATTATTAAGCACTCACCATGTGTACCATGTGCTATGAGCCAGAAACCATTCCAAGTGCTTCCTGTGTATTATGTGGTTTCACCCCTATCGAGCTAGGTGGTCTTATCCACCCCCTTATTCCATTTGACAGACAGGAAAACTAAGACTTGAGAGCTGACACTTAGTAACTGGCAGAGACAGGATTTGAACCCTATTGCGTGGTTCCAAAGTCTGTGCTAACAGTCACTAAACTGCAGATGCCCCCCACAAGCAGTGTCTGTCTTTTCTGATTGATGGTGGCTGGCTGTGCTCATATGATTCACCACTATACCCCCACTGCCTGGCAACCAACAGGCGCTTGAGGGAAGGGGTGACACCAGGGCAAAGTGGACAGACACTGGTGGTGGCCCAGTGGACACTCACACAGGGCTGGGCACAGAGCTCTCCAGTTCATCCAAGAGACTCTCCACGCTGGGCCGCACGTCCTCCAGGCCCCGGCTCCCATTCCGCTTGGGCTTCTCTTTTGGCAGGGGCCCGGCTTTGCCCCCCAGGGGGCTGTTATTCTCCAGGATGCCATAGTGAGGGCTCAGGGCCCCAGGCAGTGGGGGGCTTGAGTTGGCCTCATCTTGGAGAGAGGGAGAGAGAAAGGCTTCTCAGTCCTTGAACCCTCTGGGGATCCAGCAGCCAGCAGATAGGCTTGGGGGGTCTGGCAAGCCCCTGACCTAGGGACCCAGTCCTACCTGCAGGGAAGCCTGGGGGGTTATGCTGTACAGCATTCAGCTCCAACAGTAGGCGGTCAAGTTCAGAAAGATTGCTGCCCAAAGAGGAGCTCATTACAGTGGGTGAGGGCTCAGCTGACTTCTGCTTGTTGGGGAAGCTTCGAGAGGCAAAGGAAATAAGACAGTGAGAGATGCTCCCCCGCCTTGCAGTCCCCAAATTCTCAAGGAGAATAAGGCAGAGGGGATATAAAGTCTCCCCCAGCAGAGAACAGAGAGTAGGGAAGGGATATGGTAAGAAGAGGGGAGGGAGGAAATCTTGCTTCAGTTTCTCAACAACACAGAGATGCTGTGACAGCCTAGCCTGTCTGCCGCATAGAGATGGCAGTGACTAGTGTGACAGGCGGCTGAGAGGCATATGAGCCAGCCAAGAAACTTGGGGCCTTCTGTAGTTTAAACCAATGACCCTAGAAGCAGAACCCCCTGAGGTCCAGTTGCCATGCCTGGTCCCTGGCCTCAGGTGCCTCCAACCCTGGCCAGGTCCCTGGTATTTCTGAGCAGGAGGGGCAGGTGGCTGGGGAGGGGCTGGGACAGTACCTGTAGACGTGCTCCTCCTCGCCCACTCGGGAACACGGAGAGACACCGATGTCGTCCTGGGGGTTGGAGGTACTGGAAGCTTTGGCACTGGAGCCGTACACAGGTGATGGGGACTGAGGCTGCAGGAAGGATAGTGCTCAGAGGCCTCCTCCGAGAAGAGGAAAAGAAATGGGGCACAGGAGCCAAGGGGCCAAGTCACCCCCAGGAGGCTCCTGCTCATAGCCAGTCTCACCAGGGAATTTCCACAGTCTGGCAGGAGACCAGTGATTAACAGTTGATCACTGCCCCCTTCACGTGGTGGGTGGGGAGAGGAGCGTCTGGTTGGGGACGACTGATTCCCACATTCCCATTCCTCCACTGGCTCCCCAAGCTCCTGCAGATAAGCTCCTTTTACCCCCAAGCCTCTGGGGGCTTCCCAGCCCCCATCCCCACCTTACCTGCTGGTGGATGAATCGGGAACTGCTGGGCTGCCACTGGTCTAAAGGGTCAAGGATGGTGCCATTGAGGGCCTCGCTGGACGGTGGTGGAGGGACAGGAGGTGGCACGGCAATCTCCTGGTACGTGTGGTTTCCAGTTGGGTATGAGTAGGGGGTCTCCTCGGACAAGAACACAGGCCGTTTGGAGATGTGGGAGGTGGTAGACTCCAAGTCTGCCAGCAGAGCGTCTGCAATGAGAAGCCGCAGGCAGCAGGTGAGAACCGGGATCCTGGGAACTCTCCAATGGCCTTGCCCTACTTGCCTGCACCTTGGAAGTTAACGCCTTCCGAGCAACTGCCCCACCCATGGGAGAAATGACCAGCCTCAGGACAGGAAGCCACCAGCCCAGTCCAGGCCAGCCCAGCCAACAACTGGCTTCTAAAGCCGACCTCTTCTTCCAAGCCCAAGAGTGGAGGTGCTCTTCGGACTCGCTGCGGTGGCTGCCCCTTGGGGCTCTCCTACCTCTGGGAGTCGGGCACCTGGCTCTGTGTTCCCTCCCGGCAGGGCTGAGCACTGAGAAATGCCTGCCTGGAACTCAGCACTCTGACTCTGCAGGGCAACACAGACAGTGGGTGGGAGGGGCCCCACGTCACGGGGAGGGGCCGGGCAGTGCCAGGCCCTCACTTGATTTCCAAGAACCTTGGCTTTCTCAGCCCCCAGACTGAAGAGGGCACCTGGGGTGGTACCTGCCCTCCTGACCAGGTAGAAGCAGAACCCCAGGCTCGGAGCCCCTCCTAAGGCTCCAGGCTATGGGGTAAGGTGCGTGGGGAGGTGGGGCTGGAATGAGGCTGGTCCCGTGGTCCCGCCCCTCATCAAGGCGGGTGGGGGGCAGCAGGACTGCTCTGTAGGCTGCTGATTCTGCAGAAACCTGGCAAGCAGCCCAGCCCCAGAGGCTCCAGGGCCCCACTATTCTACTTTTAACAGCAGCGGGGAAGCTGAATCGGCCCTCAAGTGCAAACTTCCATTACCCTAGCACCTGGCAGCCAACAGGGGGGGCTCTGGGTCTCCCCCTGTCTCCAGACAAGGATACAGCTGGAGGGGCAGGAATAGGAACTGTTGACTCCTCCCCCTCCAGCTCACCCCTCCCCTCCTGAGACCCTCACCAGACTGGGACCCTTGACAGTCCAGTCTCACCCCAGGTGCCACACCCTCATTCCTGCCATGCTCACAGACTTGCTCATTCTCAGCTCCCTGGTGACCTGCTGGGTGTCAGGGAATGCATCAAAAAAGCAATGGCTGCGTTTAGTGCCATTTACTAGAAACAGGAACCGCGCTAAGCATTTTGCATTCAGGGTCTCAGTTAATCCTCCTAATACCCCATGGAGCTGGAATTCTGATCCTCCCTTTACAGATGAGAAGGTAGGCGTGGAGAAGGTGGAGCACTTGCCCCAGATAACAAAGCCAGTGAGTGGCAAGACAGTGACTCCTCAGAAGCCCTAAACCTCAAAAACGTAGCCTGCAAGACACTGCTGTGACCACAAGATGATGCCATTAAAGGGTTCAACTTCCTGAAAGTCAGTGGCCCAAGCTTTGAAGGCTGCCAGTCTGATCCTTCCTTGGGGCCCTGTCCCCCCAGCCCCACCCGTACTCACAGGACAGAAGAGGGAAGCAAGGTCCTAACACAGGGTCTCAGTCTATAAGGCCATACCTTCTCCCAGCTGCCTGTCTTGATCTCTTACCCCCAAGGCTGGCCACATCTACCCCAGGCTCCTGCCCAGATGGTTACCCGGGAAGCTGTTTCAAGCTCCAGGACCCCAGGTCCTGGTCTCCTCACTTCTGAGGAAGGTCAGTTCCTGCAGCCCCCTCCCCCTCCAGGTCCTTTGGAGGAGGTCTGGCTTTCTGTCTCTAGCAAACTGGAACTAGAGGGAGATAATATGTGTCTAGGTAACAGTGGAACAGGAACCAGTGTCCAGGACCAATCCCAGTGGCCCCTCCAGGGCCACACCTACTGCCTTGGCTTCCTGAAGTTTCCCCATTTCCTCTGGGCCCAATCCAGCAGCGGCAGGGCCCCTCCTTCTCCATCATGGGCAGACCCAGCTGGGAAACTCCAGAGGGCTCCCCAGAGCAGGCAACAAGTGCAACCCTGGCAGGGACAGCAGGAGCAACTGCCACTCTTGTATGCCTACAGGGGCCAGGAGCTTCACCTGGGTTATCTGCCTTCCTCCTCACAATGACACTAGCACAGATGGTAAAACTGAGGTTCGGAGGCAGAGTCCCCACACAGCCAAAGCTGGCTGAAGTGACAAAGCTGGGCTCTGCACTCAAGTCTCTTGGGCTCCAAACACTCAATGGAAGACAAATGGCTAACGGCTAACCTTCCCTGTCAAACCTTCTGAATCAGGGACTCCACTACCCACTCCATTCATTAAACCCCCACTTCCCCCACTCATGACGTGATTCCAAGTCTGGTTTAGTGGTTTATGAACTGGATTCTGGTTTACGATTTCAGCAGGCTCTTTTTAACATGTATACCTATGTTGGTTGGACTGCTGGTCAGAGGGTACAGTCCTGGGGGATAGAGACAAAAGATCACTAGTTCTGGAGTCAAGCCAGACCTGAGTTCAAGTCTTAGCTCCTTTATCCACTATCCATGCTACACAGCAAATGGCTTAGCTTCTATGATCCTCAGTTTCCTCAGTAAGCTGTGCTGAATAACTCCTACCTCACAGTATTGGTGTGAGGTTTACAAGGGATAGCAGATGCTATAGCACATCAGAAGCTGCGAACATCAGATTTTATTTGCTTTGTGAAATCCAGGAAAAGATCTTCCTCCAAGGAAAGCAGGGTAGGATGCAGAGCACTGACTTATCCTCCTAAATCTTTTTTGGGTAGAATCTGGGCAAGTCATGAAAAAGGCAACCTCGAAAAGAAAAATAAAGCAATAAAGCAACATTTGAAGTGTCACATGTGTTGATGTCAGGGAGAAAGCACATTATTTTCCAATTTTCTCCAAACTATTATCTGAGTGAGAGAGGAATCCCAGCAATACATACACAAGCCACAGGGTCTCTGGTGTGGCTTCCTCCTCTCTCTCCACCCATAATCCTTGCCTAGTGATGTGGACAAGACTTGGTGTCACTATCCCCCAAAACCCCCCACAAACTCCTCAAGGAAGAGAGCCAGGTATATAAGAGACAGCCAAGGAATAGACTCAGAGCTCTACTTTGGATTCCTACGGGTGTAAATGCCTGCTATCTCCCCACAGGCTACAAAACAGTTAAGGTCCAAAGTCTCCCTGCAAGCTCAGAAAACTCCTCCTCTGAGTAAATAAGAGCCCAGCAGACCTGCACAAAGTAATCCACTTTCAGGCAGAACCCCATCCCAGTGGGTTCCTCCAGTTTTCAGCTGTAGCTGAAATACCCTAGCTCTAAATACCCTAAGGGCAGGCTCAGAGACTCCTACTCATGCCCCAAGGAAGATGTCAGGCTGCCCCCTCTTCAGAAAAAATGGTACCAAATGGAACCCTGCAAGACCAGAAACACATCCACACATGAGGGCATCTCCCAATACCCTGCCTGGTGGCAGTCAGGGGCCCTCGTTCAGGCTAAGGAAGCCCTCAAACTCCCTCAGCATCACTCCACTAAGTTTCTGGGTCCAGGCCTGAGACCCTCTGGACCCAAGAACCCAAGTCACCCTGTGGATGGAAGCTTTCCGTGGGGTGTCCCATTCCCTTTCTAGAGGAACTCACCCTAAATTCTGCAGCCTTTTGGCCTCTCTGGGCCAGCTGACATAGGCCCTGGCACTTGCAGCCACAGAAGGAAAGCCAAGGTGACTGGGCAAGGCCACACAACCCAGGGTGGGGGAGAGGGGAGAGGCGGGGAGGGTGGCAAAGTCCTCAGCAGGCCAGGGGCAAAGGCCAAGGAGCTATATGCCCTTGGGAGGAAGGGGTGTGGACCATTTGCTGTTGGCCACCAGAGGGCACCATTGGCCCATTAGCTTCCTGCCACCGGGATACCCAAAAGTAACCTCATGCTATCAGGCAATTTGAGTCAAGGAAGACTGTGGAGCCCCCAGCCATGGGTGCAGTGTCCAGAAGTTTCAAACCCAAGAGAATTCAGCTGAACTGGAGGGATGGAGCAGGCTACCAGGAGGAACATGGGGTGGCCAGGATGCCCAGTCCCAAGGGCCTTGACTGGAACATACTACCATTTGAAAGTGTGACCCAAAGGTGACACTCAGCCATTGCAGACCCAGAGGGAGCATCCAGAGGGGCTCGAGACCCACAGGGATGCAACGCCCTCATTTTCAGCACCCTCTCTGCAAACAGAGCCACAGGCGACCCGTCTCTACCTCACTGCTGCACCTGGTCTGAGCAACAGCTTAGAGCAGCAGTGGCTTTGGGCTGGGAGGGGCAGACACAGCCAAGAGGAGTCTCTGAGGGATGGCAATCCTTTAAGACCTGGGTGGGAGCTGCTCAGTCTGCATCCCTTAGGGGGTTAAGATGCAGGTGTCCCAGCCCTGCTGCCCCAGAAGGAGGAAACCAAGGGGCTGGTCTGCCTGCATTCCAGGGCAAATGCTGCAGCTGCCCCCCTCACATTCCCACACCAGCCCAGGGGCACAGGGCAGGGGAGGGAGCCCAGGGTCCCCTCAAATCCCCAATGTGGGGGATATCCCCCAGGCCACGCAGCTCTGGGGACCCCGCCTGACCCACTGACACATGGGACTCAACAACAGGTTAAAGAGAATCAATGAAACCCTCTGCCCCCACCCCCAGCTGAAGCACAGAAACAAGTCAGGGCTCTCTCACAAGCCTGGATTCTTCCTACCCAAGGCTGGCCACATCTTAGTGTGTGATAAAGACTGTCAAGAGCAGCGGGCTGGAGCTGGATAGGCGCCAAGAGAGATGAGATAAGGTCCGCCCAGGACAGCTCAAGTGTGTGGGGGGTGGGGAGAGGGGAGACAGGACCCAGAGTTATTCCATTCTCTCCTCCTGGGCTCTGAGGACACTCGATGTTACAACGTGCACAGAGGGACTTTGCATCACACAGACTCTGCTCAGTGGCTAAGCTAACTGGACAGGTTACTTAACTGCTCTTGTGCCTCGGTTTCCTTGTCTGCCCAATGGGAATGCCACCATTTTATTCACAAGATTAGGATTAAATGAGAAAATAGATATAAAGTGCTTATTTAGCACAGTGCCTGGAATAGATCACGCAGTCAGTAAATGGGAGTTGCTAAGCAGATAGGAGCTCCCTCCTTGAAAGGTCTTTAGCCCTAGGAGGAGAAAAAGGAAGCACCTCCCAACCCCATCCCACTCCTGAGGGCAAACGATACTACAATCTAGCCCTGAACCTGCAGGAAGGGGCA